AGGCAACAGCGGATGAAGCCACGGAGAAAAAGAACAGAATTAAAGAAAAAGGCAGAAAGAAGGCAGTGCCTAACTTCATTATGGTCGTATACCAATGAGTATGAGAACTTGCTCCACAGCGGTTGATTGAGTGAAAAACTTTGACGCGATAACCAACGAGTCGAGTTGTCTAAGCCTGTTGAATTGTTAGATGAACTCAACCATTGCCACCCTTCACTGCCTCATTTTATTGACCAGGAGGGGGGAGTAAGGAATAAAGACAGGAAGTAAGAAGAAAGGGGAGAAGCAGAAAAAAAGAAAGAGACAAAATGCAAAAAGGAGAATTGAAGGGAAGGAGAAAGAGAGAGTGAGAAAAAGAGAGAGGAAAACCGGTTGCCCTTCGGGACATTAGGTAGAATCAGAATGATGCAGAGAAGATTAGCATGGCCCCTGCACAAGGATGGCATGCATAAAAGGAGAAATGACTCACAACTTTTGGAAAAGAAGAAGGTAACCGGAAAGAAGAAAGAGCGTAGGTGAAAGAGACGGAAATGGAAAGGGGAAAAAAAAAATGATAAGACACAAAGAGGAATAAAACAAGATAGAAGAAAAGAGGACAAAATAAAGAAAAGAGAGGAAGGAAGAAAACAAGCATGCTTACCAATGTCCGCCACATCGGACGTCCGGACCCCCGTGTCGCCGAGATCGAGATCCATCAGGCGTGAGCAGTTCCGCACTACCTCCCGAAGATCACTGACATTCCTACAGCTAGAGAGATTCAGCACTTCCAAGTCTCTAAGCCAGAGCCCTATGGATGCCAATCCCTGATTAGTGAGTCCTCCAACTGAGCTAAGAGACAACACCCTCAGCTTCGGGCATGCCCCTGCCATCGCAGTAATTCCCACATCGGACACAAGAATGCATCCATCAAGTCTTAATTCTCTCAAATTGGCCCACCCACCCAACGTTGCCATCAAAACGACAGCTCGATTCCTCACAGTAGTCCTCGACAAATCCAGGGATTGAAGGGCACCACCTCGACTATCAGCTTCTCGATCACCACCTTCTTCTCCCCGTCTTCCTCCTCCTCCTCCTCCTCCTCTTCCCCCTCCTACTTCTCCTTGTCCTTCTCCACCTCTCAAATCCCTTGAGCCTTCACCGCCAGCCTCATTGGCAACCCTCGTTCCCCTTTCAATTCGTTCAGATTCTGGCGTTCGGACAGGGGAAGCTGGAGGCCTCCGCGCGGCTCTCGTGCGCAGTTCTCCTCGCTGTGCCTCTCTGCCCACTCTTCCCCCCCCTTCTCCCAACAACACTCGAACGCCATCCACGAGAGCTCGAACTTCTACCTGAGTCTCACGAACTCGATCGGCTAACACCCGCATCTCCTGTGAAACCCTGTCCCGATCGATGTCCGTATCCTCCCGGCCAACCACAGCAGCACCAGCACCACCAGCATCAGCAAATGCCAAAGAAGCTGGGTGTTCTGGTCCAAGGGCATCTCTTGCCCTCTCTTGATCTCTTCGAGGAACAAACGGAACTGTAGCAAGCGTGTGGGTCCTCGCAGCATTTCTCATCATCGCCGTCGTCGCCGCCATCATCTCTTCCTCTCTCCCTGCAATCCCTGGTCCTCTTCCAAGTGGCAAGGCAGCTGGCATTCCTCCAAGCGGCTGTGGTGCCAAAACAAGTTCTCCACCTCCACCACCAGGGACAGGTGCCTGCTCCTGCGCCCTGTTGCTACCACCGACGCTACTCGTAATGCTATTCATCCTCCTGCATCCACTCGCAATGAGCTGTAGCACTCCCACTGATATTCTCTGCAGGCCTGACAGCCGAAGCTCAGAGAGGGAACACCTAACCAACGGTCTGACCTCATCGTCGCCGAGCCAGGCACATCCAGACAAGTCCACGTGGCGCAAGCGCGGCCATGTGACTGCCCGTCGCAGGAGTGGAGAAACAGATCGTGAGAAGGTGTGAACGCTCAAACGCAGTGGGCACCACAGCTCTCCACAAGGCATATCAGTCTCCAGAACGGCACTCGTCAGCACGTGCCACCTGCAATTGGAAGTTGGAGTCCTCGAATGTTATTCTTAAATACATGTACATTAATGTATGGATAGGGAAAGAATATGGATAAGAGACATGAACATTAATACATGGGTGTTACAATTGGAGTGACGCATCTGCAGCGGTTGCCGAATTGGACTTGAAATTGTGCATGAACAAACATATTGGAATACATAGACGGGTTTTCAGCAAATTAATTTAAGACAATCCTTAAATAAAAAATGGATTGGTACTAATTTGGTAGATCATCACCCTGAAGTATTGGACCAGCCCCTGCAGACAGAAAGACCCCCCCCCCCCCCCCCCCCCAAAAAAAAAAAGAGAACCGCAGTCATCGAATAGTCAATCAATCAAACAGAGGGACTGAAAAGGGTGGGTCTCCAGTCGTCCAAGCTAAGTGGTCGTTTAGGCAGAGAAAAAAAATAGCCGGCTCAGGACAAAATCCCACTGGGACATCCTCTTCCTCGACTGACCTCAGCATAAAATTGCAGTCAGATGCATTCAGGCCAGGTCATAATTGCGGTCAGATGCGTAGCGTGGAGAGATGGTTACCTGAGGGCCAAAAGTTCGCCGTTTTTGCCATGTCACCACAGCCAACATAGTGGAAAACTTTGGAAACAAACGATATGGGCTCATAAATTCATAATACAAACACCAAAAAAAAAAAAAAAACAAGCAGGCACTAGGGACCTCTCGAAAGAGAGAAACTCGCCCAGTCACGGACGGAGCACCGCAACAAGCAGACGCCCAGCTCAATGTGGCGATGTTATCTTATTTCCCCGAATATAACACCCAGTCATTATTGCTGTACGTGATGACTGGCTGTTGCATGTTCGGGGGTGGAAGGGTAGTTTTCAGGATTTTGAAAAACCAAAAAGGCTAGCCATGTCCTTATCCCCAAAACAAAGGACAAGGATAAGCACGTATGGATAAGGATATGACACAGAATATGCTCTGGCCAGCAGAACCGACATTCAGAATCAATTCCCACAAACTAGTCTGAAATCAGAATTCAGGACACCACTAGGAGTTTTTTACTTATTTATAGACGTAATTGCCATCAGATGCATCCAGGTCCGGTCGTAAATGCGGTCAGATACATTTAAGATGGAGCTAGTGTGAGTAAGCCTTCATATGAAGAATGGAACCGACACGGAATTGGAATTGGTGTAGGAAATGGAATGAACCTTGCAATTCCAATCCAACTCACAACATGTATGCAGAGAACATTCAGATGAAAGTTCACACTGCACAGAGAGATGACACAAGAATCAGCACCTGAAGAATTTCCACTCGAAAATATGATATAATATAATTGGAAAGTTCAGATGTTCAGCGGCAGTGGCCGCAATCCAACACAACAACCCGATTGCAGGTATGTACTCAACTCCTCCCCCCCCCCC